TTGGAGTGGAGCCGGCACTTCGGCATGAGTGTTTGTGGGATGACCGGCACCTAATTTTGGTCTGGCACACCAGAGGCCCAACAGTGGCACAAAGGCTTGACAGAAGTGCAGGCCTTCTGCCAGAGAGTCTTGATCAGTCTCTGATTTGAAAAGACTTCCACGTGTTTGTGTGGACTGTTTGCAGTTGGAGAGCTGCTTCGCAGCTCCTCGAATGCAATTGCGAAGGAGTTCGTGCGTTCATGAGCCGACTTTCACCAACTTGTCCGAGATGGGATGCAGTGGGTACACCATGATACATTTGGCACCGTCGCGTGGCCCCATGGCTGCGCTGCAGGTCACACACAGTGTTCCTGATTCACATGGAGTCGCGCACTCGGATGGAGAGGCCGCGTGCGGTTTGTGCGTCAAGTTGCTGACTGCAGGGATCTGCAGGGAAATGTCACCGTTTGGACCAGTTGTTTCATTCTTGGTTCTCACTGCTTTTGGCGAAATGCCGCCAAATGGCTGGCGAGGTGTGAGCCAAATGGCTGGCCCTTGGAAATAGACTGGCAAATCTGGGGGGTTCCAAGTTCCAAGTTCGTCTCGTTCGACTCGTTTGAGTCCCCATCCATCAGCAGTTTTGTGGGAGCAGTTTGGAAGCCTACAGCAACTAGCCATGTGCAAGGGATGTGGGCCGGCTTTTGTGCAGATCATTTGGGCATATTTGGGTTGTTGACTGTTTGGGACGTCGATGATTTCGGGAGCATCAACAGCCACAGAGGGCGCGCAGTCTGTCCAAAACGACGGTGGGCTCCCATGGACGGCTTGGTCGGGCCAAGCCAGCCCCGCCAGGTGTGAGCTTTGCTGTTTGAGTTTGGTTGATTTGGCCGCCTGGGATGGCGAGGAGCGGAACCTGCGGAATCTGAATGGGGCGATGGAAACGGGTGAAACATGGTGAACTTCAATCTAAACACTCAGATGCTGGATGCTGAATGCCGGACCCTTAGGTCACTAGTGGATGTACGTCGGTAGCACGATGCAGCCATATGAAATCTGTCATGTGGGCTTTAGCAACGTCGGTAGCATCGGTTGCGGCAACTCCTTTTTTTTTGATTTTTTTTGGAGCTTGTTGGCTTGCAGAGGCATTCCGTTCGCCCAGTCTGAGGTTGTGAAGCCTATATAGTCCCTCCCACCGAAAACATGTGATACATGTGACAGATCACTTTGGAAATCGCGGAGAGGCAAGCTAAGGACAGTATCAAGTCTTTTCGCCCATGTGGGGCCCCGCTCTTGGAAGTAAAGTGGTCCCCGCAGTTCGAACAGCTGGTGGCAAAGCTGGAGGGGTTTCGACTGTGCTGAATTTTGTTCGATCTATAATTTGGGAACTCCCATCAGGCACCATCAGGCTCCCGCTGTCGTCTTCTGCCCTGACGCTGAAGCCCCCACATGAAAGACCGAAACAGAGAAGCACGCTGGTCCAGGACATCGGGGACTCCACGAGTCGCGGCTTGGCGTCGAATCCCGAACCGCGAGCTGCGGTGGGTGGGCGGTGAATTTCACAAAAAGATGATGTTCATTGTGGAATCAGTGAATTCAATGCCGTGTTTTTTTTCCCCTCAACTTGGGCAGGACAAGTATAGTATTTAATTGTATTTACTTCATCACGTGCATGGATCCAATGGCCCAATAGTTTTTGGTTTCGAGGCAACTCCAAACAGTGTGTTTGATCATCTCCACCCTGCACCTCCATCTCCAACCCTGCCCCGCCCACACCGCGTCATGGAACGCGAATCGGTCCAGTTCAGTCCACCACCGTTTTTGCGCCGGGCGAAGGCTCCTTCCTTGCTCTGTCGGCGACGCTCCGCCGCGAGCGTTCGCCCTCGCGCGCGGAGCCCCTGACCCAACTGCTGCGGCGGCCGCTGGAGGCCTCAGCCCAGGTGGTCAGAGCCCCAGGCGTGGATGGTGGCAGACGGGGGAGGATGGAGGATGGTGTTGTTGCCTTTCTTGCGGGGCTGTTGGGCTTGTCAGTGTCGGATAAGAACCCCAAGACGAAACCTTCAACTTTCCAAAAGTTTGGGTTGAATCTTGGACATGAGAGCTTAGAGAGGTGCATCCTCCGCAGCTGTTCAAAGAGGGCTCTAAGTGGCCGAAGAGGCCGAGAGCCTCATGCCTCTGCCGGAGCTGATTGAGATTGTCCCTTTCTCCAAGGAGCAGCTGCGAAGCTTCCAATGGCTTCTTGGACCGAAGTCTTACAGTAAGCCTCGGGGTCCACGTGGTGGCACCATGGCGACTGGCCAGCGGCTAGTGTGGCCTTCACGTGTGGCCCCGCACACCGCTCTGCACAGGGTGTGCAGAAGTGAAGTGCATGTTCTTCGGTTTCAGCTGCATGTCAGTTTCAGGGAGGGGAAGAGCAGCACCGGCATGCCAAATCGTTTACAAATCAAGAACATTTTCATGAACAGATAATGGGCACCTAAGAGGACCAAAAGGAGGTTGTTGAGACTTCGCTCAAGTTCGGACCTGTTCGGAGGAAGGAGCGCCATCAAGGATCATCAAACCATGTTTAAAAAGGCTTCTTTTCCAGTTGGACCAGGTTGGCAGGCCATCGGCACAATGTCTACTCGCTCGTTGCAGATGTACCATTTCTCTAGTTTTCAAAGGTTTTCCACTTGAAGGAGGACATCACACCCTCATCACACTGATGGCAACTCATCCCATCCTTGTTTTTGGACTTGCCTTACCGTATTACCCATCCTAGCCCCACAGATCCCCCGTGGTGGGATAGGTAGGGGCTCCGGCCATTGGTTTGACCCACTGAATCAGGAAGAAGGCGGAGATCATGGTGCCTGGCTCCAAAAGCGCCTTGGTGGAGGCGTCGTGCGCTGAGGTGAGCGATGTTTAAGAAAGGATTGAAAGGATGCACCATTTGCCGAGTTGGCTTTCTTTCAGTAAATGCCTGACCAAGCACGTCAATAGAATCCATATATTACATGAAAAAGCATTGCATCATCTTTGCTTCATTCCTCTCCTGGGCCGGACGAACCTCGCTGAGGCATTACGAACCGCGCAGCTTGACGCATCTGTGGAGTCGGAGTTGGATCGTCTTGGAGTCTCCGCTTCGGCTTGGTGTGCGGTTGGGTGTGTGGCTGTGGTCACTTGCTTGGCTCAGGCGGCTGCATCCCACAGAAGCTCGCTAGTAAAGAGAGTGGTGGGTTCGAACACATGATGTCCCTCAAGTGTGCTTGGCCCACTGTGTGGTCTTCGTCTCCCACCTGCGAACCGGTGTCAGGAGCAATCCACAATCGGTTCGTGTGGTTATGTAGTGGTGTTTTAGCGACATGTCGTCGCGGGGCAGTCGCGAGGAATGTGCAGATCATTTTTTGCAACGGGCGTAACGGGGCTGGCGGCCCTGGCGGCCCTGCTCCTGAGGCCATTGTGCTGGCTGCTTTGGGCCGAGGTGAAGTCACGTGGCCAGAACATGGTGAAGTCCGGTGCCGTGCACTTGATAGATCGCGCCCACCTAAGTGAAGAGATTGACGGCTAGACCAGGGGGCTTTGTTCAAAGGAGCATGGGGGTCTTCTTGCCTATGAGGGTTTGGACATTACACTGGTGACACGCACTGACCTGCCATACCTGTCTCCATGATTCAAGGGGGCTCAGGGCAACCGACGATGGGCAAAATCGGATACATTCGGATACCCGGGTACAAAGGTTCCGCCACCGAGATGGTGATCAGCTACCACATTCTGATGTTTACTTTATCCTGCCAAAAGGTTCAGGAAACAAAGCACAGACAGATATATATATATATATAAGTTGTAAGTAGCTCAGGGAGAGAGCTGTGCCATAGAAATGGCGGAAAGCACGGAGAAATCCAGTATCCGATACAGAACGTTTTGTAAAATAATATTCTATTCAAGGATGAATCCAATGAGACAACATGGGAATTTAACAATAGAACTACGTTCCACGAGAACGCATCCAGTCCAAGAAGATTTCATAGGTTGTGCTTTTCAAGCAGGCCACGCGAGCTGCTGACTACCTGGTATCATAATTCTGTCCGCAAACAGAGCAACCTAACGCGGTTGGTTTTGGACAGAACAAATCATGAAACCCAGTCCATGTGAGTCTCCATCAGGGGGTTGTGGCAGGAAGAACTACAAACCATAGACAACCCCATGACTCAGGAGAAACCAGACCCTTTTTGTCAGGGCGGCTGCAGACCTCCGGGCTCTCAGGTCACCCTGAAAGGCGCCCTTTGGAGTGAAGACACCGAGGCCATGGTCGACTGCATGAAGCGTCTCTTGGCTCAGCAAGAAGACCAGACCGCGGGGGCAAATCCCACAGTTTTCCATTTGAAAGATGGGATGATGGGATGATCAGACTGACAAGGCCACACAATTTGGCTTTCCAAATTCTTTTGTGGGGAGTCTTTGTGAAGTTCCAAGGGCCTTAGCGGAAAGCTCCCAAGCATCATTTGGACTTTCCGAAACTGATTCATTCACGGCAAGGATTTTTGCCTGCAACGCCTTGTAACAGACCATCCCGACTGTGGACATGGGCACTGAGGCTTAGGCATCAAGGTGGATGTGACGGTGGATCCCCAGCTGGATGCGAACCGCCTCATCACCATCCAAGGTCGACGAGATGTGCACCGTTTTCAAAGTCCTTTTTAGATGTGCAGGGAGGTTTTGTGAAGAACATCTAGGGTTGAGACGAGGCCAGCTACGAGGATATCTGTAAAGCGACAAGTCGTGGTAATGTCATGGTCGATCTTAGATCTTGTATTCTTGTACTTCTTCGTGGCTTCCATTAGGCAAATTCCATCCAGCACCACACTAAAACGCGTGAACACCTGGGTCATTGGATTCCTCCAAGCTTTGCATCATGAAAGAGATCAAAAGGTGTGAACCAACTTTGCCGGAACGGTATACATGTTTACACTATATATATATATATACACAAAGTACTTACCATCCATGCTTCCGTCCACCAAGTATGATCGATCCATCCATGCAGCATGATCCACTCACTGGCTGATGGGAGTCTCGATGCAGGCTGTAATGGAGAGCTTCCAAAGGCCGGTACGGAGGAGGCGCCTTTGGAGCTCTTCGTGGCCAATGCTGGCACCGCAGCCCGCTTCCTCTCAGCAGCTCGGGCCGTTTTCTTCTCCGTCACTTTTAATGTGCCAAAACCACAAAGCCGCAGACAAATCGGGGGTATTTAACCACAAAGTCCATATTTCCTCTTGAATTGTTGGGTTAGTTCTACTTATATAATATATATTTGAGAAGGCGTTTGGACACGTTTCGCCAGAATTGAAACTGCTAGTTGCTTTTTGGACCATCAGAGAGGGACACAGTGGACACAGGGTCTCTATTCCGCACCTAAACTCCTGATCTTGACTCTCCGTGTGAGAATTGTAGGAGGGGCAACAGGAAAGGATGCATCTTTTGCTTATATACTGGGAACTTTGTTCGATTCATTCTATTTTGGACATTGTAGATGCGTCTCACCTCAGTGTTTGTCCATTTGCCGGCTGTCTCAACCAGTCCTTGACGCTGCTTTGCTTTCGCATGATTGCGCCATGTCATCACCCCGAGCATCCAGCGAACTGCCAAACAGATAAGTTGAGGCCATGGTTTGCTTGGGGAAGGGCGTGTATCGCATCTCGGGCGTGCCCCGCATGCACGAGCGCCCACAAAAGGTCTCGTGGCCGCAAGATTTGAACAATCTTTGGGATGGATGTTGTTGTTTGCTTGCCCTTTCTTTCTCCTCAGCCTGGGGGGGAGCTGTTGGGGAGCTTTTCTGCGGAGGGGTCAGAGCTGGTCATCGGCACAGGCCAATCAGTTTGTGACCACAAGCTTTTTTTCTACTCTTGTATTGCCAGAGCTTTTCGCGCTTGACTTCTTCTTCTTCTTGATGATCTTGGGAGGCCAAGTCCCTTCAACACGTGGGGTTTTGACCTCTCCAGTTAGCCTCCAAACCTGAGGAGCTGATCGAAGCGCTTCGAAAGCTGGGATACCGCGTGGCTGCTTGGCCTGGGATCGAGTGGGTGAGAAGAATTGGGCTCTTCGAAGGAGCTTTTGGTGCTCCAACAGCAGGGGACCAAAAGAGCACTTCCCAGTAGGGATAAGATAGATTTGCTTTACCTGCTGCGGGCAATGTGGCTATGTCAGTTCTTTGGGGACTTCCTCGGCCTTTTGAGTCTGTAGTTGGCGACAATACTAACAAATATATATATATATATATATTATAGTTACCATTATAGTTATAATGTGTTACAGTTATATGCTGATAGTGGTGCCCAAGCACATAGAACGTTCCCTTTATCGTTGTCTGTCTGTGTTGCTCATCATGTTTGCTTATTAGCAGTGCAAACAGGCAGAGAACATACATACATTCCTTGGATTTTGAGGTATGTATATATGTCGTTTCTCTGGGAAACGTGCATACCTCCAAATCCCACACTTACAAGTACGCATGCTATACAAACAAACAATCAAACATAAATGCATGCATGGATAGATAGATGGATTACATTACATTACATTACAGTACAGTACAGTACATTAAGTAAGTGTTCCATTAGGTATTACATTACATTACATACATACCTTGGAGTTTGAGGTATGTACAGACAGACAACCAGCCAGCCAGTGAGGCAGGCAGTGGTAGATGGTTACATCCGTGAACCCTGTGCCACTGTGGGGGACGACGGGCAAGATGAACATGGACGGCATGGAAGACCGGACATTTGCAGGCACATGACATAGCTTCCAAATAGTGCTTGGCTTTCCCCACTTCCAAGGACACTCCAAACAACAAGCTGCCAGCCGTGTTCTTCGGGAAGGGTCCCATCTCTGGCTCTGTGACGGTGAGTGTCGAGGAGGGGTGGGCGTGCTACCGGGTTCAGGTCGACCGAAGAGCAGGCTGACGTGGTTGCTGCTATCGCCACATCACTTCATCAATCTTAGTGCTTAATTAGTCCTAAGCATTATCATGTTGTTATATCTATATATATCTATATATATATGTGTGTGTGTATGTAATATATAAAATATAGTTGTACAACTTAGCGACCTAGGGTTTTCCCGACCTCACCGGCACTGAAGAGCGCCCGTGGCGCTTCTTCGTCCACAAGGAGAGTTCCCAATTCGCCAGCGCCTTGCTGCTCTCCAGCCGCGCGGGCCAGTGGGATGTTTCCATCCCTGCTGGTGCCAATCCCGATGAGCTGCCTTATGTGGAGAAATGGCCGCACTTAGTCATGCAGCTACTGGTCCAACCCCTGCAACACTGACATCTTCTGAAATGCTGAAAAGGGTCGTGGCACATCGGTGCAGGACATGGGGATATCAGTGCCTCAAGATCTGGAGAACGAACTAGGCATGAAGGCCCCCAATGATCAACACTCAACCATGACTAGCCCACTTAGTTAAAGGACCACCTAATGACATGGATCAATTCATTGATCTGGAGAACACATGGGTTCTGATTGAGCCATTGAGCCTACAGTTTCATTCAGGAGATGACCAGGGAGCTCGTGAAAGCTTTTCCGCACGATGGAGGACGATTTGGATGGGTTGAGGGCGAGAGGCCTGTTGGAAAGAACGGGTCCATAGACGTCGTGAAGAATGGTCTGGTCGTTGACCTCGATTTGACCGATGTGTCTCGGTCTCGACCTAGTTATGACCTAAACCGCCTAAACCTAAAAAAAAACTCCTGGTTCGGCTTCGGATCGCCAAGGGTGGGCGACGGACTCTTGCCACGCTGCTTCAGCCGCTTGAGGAGAATTCCAAATCGAGGCTGATGCCTCAAGTGCCAGCTACTTCCATGCAGTGAAGCCTGGCTGCGCCCGGTGTGATGCACCAGGTGGGTGGAGGTGGAGGTGCGTTGCGACTCACCTGCCGCAACATGCATAGACTGAGTGAGAGTCAGCAAGCAACCTAGGATAACTAGTAACTAGTACTAGGGATTTGTGGCTTTCTTTTTTCTACAAGCTGAGTGCATGTCTTCTTTTCCAGCCCCCCCCTCCCCAGTGGCCCAGGAACGCGCTCTTCGGGAAGATCCAGCCGGTGAACGTTTTGGCGTGTCAGCCTCCCAAGTCCCAGGGCGGCACCGGCTGGCAGATTGACGCGGAATTCCCCAGGCCGCCTACCCTACTCTCGCCGTCCGTTTGCGCCGTCCGGGCGAGACCGAGACGTGGGCGAACACGAAAACACGCGATTTGGACCTCAAGATGATCTGAGGATCTGGATCTATGTTTGGTGGGGCTCCAACTGTTGGGTATCTGTGTTTGAGCGGCATGTTGGGTTGGTGGGTCAGGTTGGCTCCTTTGAACGAGAACATGTACAGCGCTCGGCAGCAGATTGGAGAGTGCTGGAAAGGCACTAAAGGGATGTCGGAGTCTCGTTTAACTTTGCTGTTGTGGGCTGTTCTGATTCAATGTGCGCATTTGAGCATCAAGATGGGTCAAGTCGCGCATCGCTGGCGCATCCAGCAAAAAGCCACCACCAGTAGTGCTCAGAGAGTACTGAGGGCCACAGTTGCTTCGCGGACAGGTTTTTTCTACTTTGTCTCCCGCTGCCTGCTGGGGCATGAGAACATCCACGACCCATACATCATCTCCAGGAAGAGACTTGGTGAGTTCGAGCCAGCTCCAAAACTGGAGGCCAGTGAGGCCAGCCCAGTGTCCCCAGTTGCTTTCTTGACCTTAGCTGAGCTGAGGACTCATTTGGGCGACTCCATTATGACGGCCATTACCATCAGTGGCCTGGCGGATGGTCCATATGCCTTCGTCCAGCTGGGGGTGCTTCGAAAGCAGGAGTGTGAACGCGTCAAGGCCTTGCACGAGGAGTTGAAAAAGTGCAACTTCCGCGTCGTCGAGAGTGGTGATACTCTGGAGGTGCTTCCCATCCGGAACGAGGCCCAGCCAGGCCACGCACGGATCGCCACCTACCACGATCACCGCATGGCCATGTGTTTTGCCACGCTGGGCCTGGCGGTGCCCGGCTTGAAGATCGAGGATCCCAGCTGCGTGCGGAAGACGGTGCCGTCCTTCTTCCAGATCCTGGCGGCGCCGCCGCCCAATGGTTTAGGAGTCTCTTGCCTTAAGCTGTTGTTTGACGCATCTAATTTGTATCTATTTCTCACCTGGCCTCCTGATACCTTTTGTATACCGATGTATGCTATTTTTTATTGTTAATTGACAAAATAAAGGTAGCAGTGGTGAAAGTGAGAAGAAGAAGGAAGAAGGAAGAAAGAAGCAGGGAGAAGAAAGAAGGGAGAAGAAGGAAGAAGAAGGAAGGAATAATAACTAGCAGGTTCCTCTTTTCACCTGCTCTGTTTGTGTAGCCTTTGCTATCGTTTTCTCTCGCGCAGCCCGCCACTTGGCACACGCCTTTGTATAAGGTGGAGATTTGGGAGTGCGACCCCAAAAGTGGGGAACGCCTTCGCCGTCTCCAAGATCCTAAAGATCTTGAGCCGCGGAAGTGAGACATTTCGGAGCGCGCCAGAGAGAAAGCGTGGAAGACAGCCTGGGCCGGGAGGCGAGACTGAAGACCTGAAAGGCCGTGAAGCAGATTAGAATCTGATTAGAAGTATTTATACCAGGATTGGCGGAGTGCTTTTAGCCTCGCATCGATTTTCAATATGCCAAGTCGTCGCAGAAGAATGTCCGAAAAAAGCTCCCGGCTCGGGCCTGATTTTTTTGGCCCGCCACCTCCTGGCAGCAGCTCGCAAGCAAGCAACCGTACATAGTTGGCCAGTTTTTCCTGCGTGCGTCACGATGTCCAGGATAGAGTGCAGCACTGAGGTGTCATGGATAGTAGTGGTAGATAGATGTAGATAGTGTTCAGAAAGCGATACATATCGATACATATATATATATATATACATATATATATATATCGTCGGTGACTAGTGATGTTCACCAGGAGGGGACCAGCCTTGTGGTCGAATATGACAGAGTGGGACTTGGTACAGCAATGTCAATGCGTGAGATTGCAGGAGGGTTTCTCGTCAATGTTCACACATTTGGGTTTGACGCCAAGAGCCATTGAGCATTTGCAGTTATATATTGGCCTCTACAAAGTGCCTATGAGGATTGTAGTTGCAGCAGGCAATATGAATGTGATGTTTGGGCAGGCAGCTCCAGAGCAAGCCAACAGGGGCATGGCACCTTGCACAGAAGGATCAAAAGACTAGTGACTAGATGTTAGCCGTTTATGTAGGGGACATCGGAGCGCTGCTCCTGTGGTTCCTTCCAAAGTTTCTGAAGGACCGATTTTGTCGCTTTTCCCGGGAAAAAAAAGATTGCTGCCTTGTGTGCGATGGGTTTGGATGCACGGTCAGCCTCTACGAGAGGCTTACGAGAGTTCGTCAGCATCCAAGCCCCACCAGGCAGCTTTGTTTGGATTCAGTTTGAGCTAGCGGTGTGTGGCTTCGCGCTCGACAAGGTTCTCATCCACAGTGGTCTTGATATTGCTTTTGTCAGTAATCTTCATCTCTACTCAACACCCTGGGGGAAGAACAAGAAAAGCACCGGCCTTCCAATGTTTGACCAGTCTGAGGTCATCATTTGCGCCATCTCTGCTGGCACCGAGAGCTTCGAGCAGAGCCGCCGTGTGCTGGAGGTTTTCAGCCCGAGAGAGGAGCAGGTTCAGCGCCGAGCGCTGCTGAAACGCCGCAGCGGGGATGGGAGGAAATGGTTCAGAGTGGCGGACAAGTTGTAAGACCCACCCGTTGAGAAGACCGTCGCCGTAGCACGCAGATGCACGCTGTTTTTTCATGACTTTCTGAAATTCACTGGTTCAGAGCATGGCACGTGATTGGACAAACCTATAATTGTGTAGACGACTTTAGAATCCCTGCACGAAGAACCTCTAGTCTACAAAGTCGTATGAAATCAGGGGATGTGTACTAGAATGAGGAGGGGTTCTATAGAGATAAAAAATGCTATAAAACCAAAATGAATTTTTAAGACATAGAAACAATCAATTTTGGGAAAGGCCAATGATGTGTTCAGTATGAAAACGGTTTGTGCAACACGGGAACTGAATCTATGGAAAACGGATGAACACGGTTTCTTTGTAATCATGCGACCTGCCTAAAAAGAGCTGAATCCTAAATTTTGTAAGGCAGCATTTTATAGAAATGATGGTCACGAAGGATATCAAATAGATTCTACCGAAAGCAGAAGTGGCTTGTGGAATTGAAACCTTTAGGCCGGCCTACAGGTTTTATAGAGAGCTGAAATTTGGAGGCCCGAAACCACATCGGAAACAAGAAAATATCAGAGACAGTAAAGGGACAATTTATCGGAAACCTATCGGCCAGAGCTATCGGAAACTTCTCAGGTAGCACAGGTTCCCAGCCGAGAGCCAGCAATCCCTCTTCTGAGTGATCAGTGCTTTCTATAAAATCAGTCCTTCAGGGTGGCACAACTTTAACTTTGTCCAGGCTGATTATTGGTTTCATGGCTTGAGAGTTGATTTTATAGTGCTATAGAGTCTATTTTATTTTGGGTAGCTTCTCCCAAGTAGGTGCCCCCCAGATCTTCCACGAGTGACAACTTATCCAGGCATGTCATTTTTGGGGTTTTATCATGTGTAAATCAAAACCAGTTTTCTCTACAAACTTGGGCCCGCATTCTCTACACTCACATGAAACTCACACCCGGATAGTTTATATAGATGGAGATGGTGACAGGTACCGGGTAGGAACATCACTGTATCGGAAATTATTGTAGTTTTTGTTCTCATGGCCATTGACTTGGAAAGAGGCTCATTTGCCAACACCTCTGATGATAGGGGCAAGCGGTTTGTTTAGGGGTTTGGTCCTTTAGTGGGAATTTTTATCGCCTGGATGCCCGGCTCCCAGAGGTAAGAGCAGAAGGGTTAGAAAGTTGGAGCCTCTTTTTACTGTAAGGCACATTTCTGGGATGCCCCTTGTCACTCCATTTGTTTGTCAGGGGTCACTCCTAAACGAACTTGCTTGGACTTTCACATCTTTCACCGTCCACCTGACGAGCGCCGCGAAGGAGCGCACTCAAACTTTGACACATGTGCAGGAGGAAGTTCAGGCCTCGTACAAGGGCGGGCCACGCTTGAATCCCCAAATCAAACCTATTCGGGGTCCGTTCGTTCCTGTTTTGCAAAGCCTGGAAGACTTCTGACAGTAATGAGATGTATACTGCCCGGTGATGAAATAGGAGCCTTTGGACATACGGCAGCCGTATGTCCGAAGACTCCTGTCATTTCATGACCGAGTAGGAATACGATGGAATACGGCAAAATCACATTTCCCATAAACAATAATCCATTGCTCTGTAATTAATAGTTACAGTTAAACCACCTCTTCAGTTTTCCCACCACCTGGGGCATGGCAATTGCCTCCGCCAGGCCCTGCGTGCTGCTCATGAAGGCCATGCACAACTGGAGGTGTCCCTGGCCGGGGTTTCGAGCATGGGCTTCGAACATTTTGCAACCAAATGGTCCCGGTGACTGCCAGGGTGGCTTGTGAGATCATGAGATCGTTCTCGCAAAGCAACTTAACAACCACTACTCTTTTTGGCACCCAGAAGAAGCGTTGAGTCTCTTGGTAGATGGTGCGACTGCCAGGGGAAGGTCTGCGATCTCGAGATGGAGACACAGGAGCTGAGGCAGGGCGGCAGGGTTTAGTCCTCTTGCACTTGAGGGGACCGACTCTCAAACACGGCTGGGGTGGGGGAATCACGAGTATCTCTTGCCATCGGAAGAAAACCCCTTGAGTTGATCCAGCATCATGGACACAAGCAGGATCAGACAGTTATCTATATACGGTATTTTCCTTGTTGCGACTATTTTTGAGAGAGGCAGAGGATCTAAGCCTACCTCTCCAAGACTGCAAGTACTTGAGTGTGGTAGGGCTTGGCGTATGGGAAGTACTATGAGGTAGGTATGCAGTTATACACCCTTTTCAGCGGGTGTCTCCTTACTCGATTCTGGAGGGCCGTCATTCAAACCGTCGGCGCACCCTTCAACAGCTCACATGGCCTTAGGGAGTCCCATGTGACACGTGCCGCGTCACCAGTGCTTGCGTCGCTTGGACAGCGTAATGGGTGGCCGTGCCTGCGGGTCACCCGTTGCGGAATCGCAGGTTGTCCTTGCGGATGGAACAGGACGCCGCGCTGACGCGGCAGAGCGAACTGGAGGAGCGCTTGCGGAAGACAGAGGCACAGTTGGACGCACTGGTGCAGTGGAAGGCTGGGAAAGTGATAACGGAGGAAGGGAGCCTTGTGACGATCAGGAATCAGGACCTGGGAGTGGAATGAATTGGAATGAAGCATCAGTCGAGGCACGAAACTTCACAGTCGAGGCACGAGGCCTTTTTGAGAGGATCATTTTCCTCTATCGTTTTCCTCATCGCAAATGTGGACTTCAGATCGCAAATGCATGGCAAGCGTGAGCCCCTTCGACCAAGATTTCATTTGTTTCATTCTGGTTGGCTGAGGGGTTTCCAAAGGCCTGGGGTGGAGTTGGTGGAGTAGTCCTCAAGCTAGGTACCAACCTATCGGCAAAGGAAGGGTGGGCCTGGATAGTTGTGCTTGGTCACGTGCCCTGCTCAGAAGTCGTTTGCGGGCTCATGCGAGCCTGTGGCACCCTCTGAAGATGCTTGGCAGAGTCTGGCAGAGATTGTTTTTCTGTTGCAGGCTTTGGCTGTTTAATTGCCATTCTCAAGTGGAGCCAGTGTGTACAAGTTACACTCAGCAACCAGGAAGGTACTTGCATATACTGTATATATATATATATACTTATATATATACTATTATATATATATATGTATAAAAGTATCTTTTGGATTTGGGTAGGCTTCTCGCAAGTGCCGGGGCAGAATGGAACCAGACCCTTATCTTGCCCAACTCTGTCTATGTATATGTCTAATTATGATTAATTATGTGTATCTGTCTGCCTGGCTGCCTGTCTGTTTGTTTGCCTGTCTCGCTGGCCCCTTTCTGTCTGCCTGCCTCCCTACCTGTTTGTCTGTCTAACAAGTCCAATACTATGTCGTTGGGTTTGCACTTCAAGGGCCTAGGGGCTGGTTTGCTCTTTGGTCGCACAAGTTGCACTCCTAACATGCATCTCCGTCCCTTTGGGGCTCTAACTTGTGTGACCCCACCCACCCTCCATCACCATCCGTCCACCTCCATCCACCTCCATCCACATCCCATCACTGAGGCGTTTGGGGCACCGGACATGAAGCGAAGGCGACTCGAGGCGACTCGGTGCGATATACGAAGACACCAGGGTCCAAAGCACCTGGCTGAGAGCCAGGTGGATGTTTGTCCCGTCTGATGAGTTCTGGCAGCTGCCACACCGATGATGATGATGATCGTGATGATGATGATGAGGAGGAGGAGGAGGAGGAGGATGGCAGATCTGGGTGAGGCTTCGGTCATCGTTGGTCCATTTTTGGTATGGGGGGAACCTGTCCATCTATGCTATAGGCGTGAAGGAGTCCGAACAATGTATATATGACTTAAGTTGGCCCGAATTGCTCAAAGCACAAGCCCACTTGTGTTTACATCCTTTGTCTCCTTTTTCAGTACGCGCTTGAAGCCTTCTGTCCCAAATCCCAAAGGTCGTGGGAGGTTTGACAAAACGTTGTCATTCAGAGTTGAGCTGGCAGCAAGAGTTCTGACAGGGATTTGCGTTGTGGAGAGGGCTTCCCAGAAGGGGTTGAAAAGACGTTGGACAATCATGCATTCAACTCTGGACGCCCATGAGATTGACGGTGAACATTAGAGGCCTCTGACAATGGCAGGCAGATAGATCACTGACGGTCGGGTGCAAAAACCACACTTGTGGCTACAGATAGATCACTGCCATTGCTTCGATGAGATTTTTGCCGCTTCTGGCCTCAGGAGGAGAAGGCCGAGAGCCCATATCGACAGCAAGGCTAGGCAGTCATGGTGGGTGCTTGTGGGTGGCTGTTGGATGTGTTGCCAGAGTGCGGACCATCATGAGTAGAAAGGCACACTTGGAAAAAAGCTCAACTGAATGAGCACAACTTCAGTTACTGGATCGCGGAATGCATTAGCCATTTAGCCCATTAGCCGTTGACTGCAAAACAACGAATGAGACAGCGTTGGACCGTTGGACATATGTAGGTTTTCAAACGATTTCAACATTCTTCATTGCGTGTGGTAGGATGAGAGTGCCACACGCCCCCCCACCGTGAACACTTTGATTAAAGGAATTAAAATCAAACATCAAGTAGTCGCTTGACTAAGCAACTACAAGTGGTGTGAGGCCCATTGGACAAGGGGTTGACACACACACATACAAAAAACACAGAACTGCGCTGCCTCTATATTCGGCCAATTTTGCAGAACATTTAAATGGGCTTTGGACAAACCACCTCTGGTGTTCTGATGAAGTGGGCAGTTTCAACCCTTGACTTCTTGGGGTGGAAGAAGCGCCCGTCCCTTTATTGAAGGAATGCGGCGCCTGAAGATGTGTCCACCTCATGGAGAACTGTAGGGGGTTCTGAGGGTACCAGCTCAGCTTCCTCTATCAGGCTAAATTCATCCCAGACCCACTGTGTTCCAGAGTTTCAGCGAGAAGAACAGTTGAGACAGACTGACCAAGACAATCTAAGACACATATGAAGACCATCAGTGACGACCAACCTAAAACAGCAGACTCTCATTCCGACGCTGTGGCACGCCGCTGCAGGCGAAACGGCGCTGCAAGTCGCCTCGGAGCTCATGCGGCGCCTCAGCGCCGAGGAGAACGGAAGTGGAGGGCAGGTTCCGTGGCACGGTTCTGTGGCACGGTTTTCTCTTTGTTGGTTTCAGTCGTGCTGGTACCACCCAGGGTTATAGCATTGAATGAAGCGAGCATCAACCATATTGACTGAAACAGGCCATTTCAGGATGTAGGAAGCTAGTTTCTCTAATGATACTTGGGTGTGACATGCTGATCATAGCGGCTTTGATGTGAGGAGTTGGACTTGGCTTGAGCAGAGTTGTCATGAGAAGGGCCGGTCCTGTCCACAAAAAATCCACTTGGTCAGCACCTTCCGGGCCGGAATGTTTGTGGGTGAGGAGCGCATGGATGCCTTGATTGCCGAAAGCCATCAGACCTCCAGCGGCTCGTCGCAGCCGAGAATCAATCGAAGTCTCAGCTGGTGGGCACTCTGCACTCTTGGGCTCAAGTCCATTGGTCCAAGGCATCAATCTCTTGAGGTATCATTGAAGTTCATTTGGCTAAAATTGGTTTGGTTCAGCGCCTCGTGTGTCCCCCAAAAACACCCACACCGCGGTCGCTGACTCTCCATGAGGCGGGCCTGGGCCCACGAAGCGGTCGCCCCACGCGCTGGATCCGGCGGGCCCCAAAAAGGCGCGCGAGCGATGCGCGTTGGTCCGTCCGGGTCTTCTTCCGATCGCATTAGCGGCGAGATGCGATGCAAAGTGATCCTGAGGGATCGTCAGGCGTACATGTGAGTGTGTGTACATGCATGTATATATATACACACGCCGTGCCAGAGAAATGCATGGAAAGTGAGGACTACAAAAATGGCACACACAATATGGTACGTGTGAGAGCGAACCATTTTCCGAAGACGTTCAGACATTTTTTGGAGAGCTTTGCAGTCCCTTTCCTAATGTAAGAATTTGCCACGCAATCATCCCTAACATCCCTAACCCAAAATAACAAGCTATATATTTAACCATCTCTCAAGGCCCAAGGCTAAGGGAAAGAATCTTTGATTAACTGTACAGCTGTAGGCAGGCACACCCCCCCTTCGTCACACCTGAAGGTACCCGAACGGCACACCTCTCCTGAGCTGCTGGCGCTGCCGGCGCCCCCCACGCCGAAGGTCCGAAACGGCAGGCGCGATCGGGGCGTCACCGGCGTCAGCTGGCGCGCGCAAGCCAGGCGTCCATCGGTGCGTCGGTGCGGGGGGGGGCCTTGCTACTAGTAGCGATGCCCTTTGCTCCTAGTAGCGTTCTTGTTCCTAGTAGTATGGCCAGGAGCCCCGATCGTAGCGTCCTTGCTAGTAGCGATGCACTTGTTACTACTAGCGATGCCCCTGCCGGTAGCTGCACTGTTGCTTCCTCAGTCCGGAAGCTGGTGCCGTGGATGGAACATGCCCCGAGGCGCCGGCCGCAATTCGCTTCGGCCTCGGCAGCCCACACAGTGGCCAAGGCGGCCCAGGCGGAGGCGTGCGGTGGGAGTACAGTCGGACATGCATGGGCTGGGAGTACATGTGTTCAGCAACAAAACCACCAATCAAAAAGCATTGAACACCAAAAACAATACTGAGACTCTTTAAGCAAACCCGCCAAAAAAACTACCGGAATATATGTGTTTTTGGTATTTTTTTCAACGTATATATATATATTCATAATATACATATAATATAAATATATATGATGTTCTCGGAAGGCACAGCTCTAGCACCTCAAGCCTAAGTCTTGGAAGTCTGCACCTTAAACCTCTATATTCATACTTAATGTCCTTTTAATTCCATTTTGATTCTTGTTGACCCCCTATTAAACACGTTGATTTCCAAAAATTTCCGGTTAAGAACCTTTTGATTCCAAGTGATTTTCTTATACATTCCTTTTGAATTCCTGATTCCTGTTGACTACCTTTTTTGTATAAATCTCTAACGACAATATCCATGTGATTTCTTTTCAATTTTCTTATGGGTTTATTGCTTTCCTGTCAAATTCCTTTTGATTCCTTTTGAGTTCCTGTCAAAGTCCTTTTAATTTCTGTTGAGCTCCTTTTTTGCTTCTTTTTAACTCCTATTGATCTTTCTTTACATTCCTTAGTTACATGCTTGTAAATCGTTTTGTACATTTTTTTGATTTATTACAACTTCCACTACACAAAGGAGGTAGCGCAGCACACTCGAAGCCTAACATAATACAACTTCCTGCAATCGTGATAATAATAGCATCCCCTGAGTTAATGTCTACGGTCCATGTTTAACTATATATATACATATTGCTCCCTCAAATATTGCTTGAACTTTTGCTTTGGTATGGTTGTGTTATTATTGATACCCCCGGCAATAATGTGGATGCTTTTTTTCCTTTTTTTGAGCTCACGGTTTAGATGCCAAATTATTAATTTCCTTCTGAACTTTGATTTTATTGGTTTCCTTGCAAATTCCTTTTAGCTTGATTTATTTGCTTTTAAATTCCTTTTGATTCCAATTGGTTTCCAACAGCAATGCGCATTTTACTGTGATCTTGGGCCTATGACATAGATATATCATACGATGCTTTCAATCATCTGAATGAATG